TCACCACATCCTAGTTCACACTGCAGAGCAGTCTCAGAGCATGCAGAGAGTAGGCTGCTTATAAATGAAATTAAATTGAAAGATGCTTTCCCAGAACACACCTAATACACTCTGATAAGTACTGGGAAGTCAGTCAGTGGTACCAGAACAGTACTTGTCTGAGTACTAGAGCTAGAGCATATGAAGAGCAATCAAGACTCACATCAACAGTTAAGATTACCAATCCTGTCCTCATAGGCAATGCCAATTCATGTCTACAACTACTGTTTCCAGCTGCACTGAAATCACAAAAGGTCAGGGACCTAAGAGCTGAGCTTATCTAAAAGCTACCACATTTTAGGTCATAAAGCTCATGATCAGTGTGTCTTTCCTACACACCTGCAGTGCACAGATGGATGTGATAGCTGAAAAACTGGATCTTAATGCCACAGTGCAGAGCCCCTTTGACAGCTGCAGTAAATCCAGAGCTCTGTGTTAGTAGGCATACAGGCTGCTGCTTCACCTTGTGAGGAAGGACAGACAGTACAGTTGGAATTGAGAACAACTGAACACAGACTTTAAGGGTTATCCCTTTTTACACTGACCATTTAATGTAAAGAATTCCTTAGCAGCCCCTGAAGCACAGCCTGTCACCCACGAGTCCCTCTCCTATTGAGTACAGTACTCCCTTTGCTGGGCTCACCTGTGTTTTTTCTACCCGAGTCAATCTTAGTCACATTTGCATGCCAGCACACCTTCAAGAGGAGGGACAAAAGTGGCCCAGCCCAAGATGGTTTAGAGCATGGTGGCACTAACACTCCCTTGGGAATCCATAGATGTAGACCTAAATCTTCTTTATGCCATGGACAAGTATCGCAGACAGGGTACCCTAACCATCAAGTGTGTCTGCAAGGGAGCAGTAGCATAACACTTTCCTTATGATTTTTTAACAGAAGGCAGATTCTGTCTCAACTTTTTTGTATGGAGCTCAGTTCAAAACATTAGATGTGCACCAGGCATGCTCATCAGACTGAAGGTAGAGGTGTAGGCATGCTTAGACTTGAACTATTGATTAGCTAGAAGACAGCGTCAAACTGTTCAGGACTAAGACTGGTACACGCATGTGGATATACTCAGCAGCAACCTTGGAAACTTTGAAGTGAAAAAATAACTTCAGGTACCTACTCAGTGCTGTCAGTGGCAGCTGTCACATGCAGAAAGTGACTCTGGATTTAGCCTAAATCTTGATTTAGTACCTCTTTAGCTCCCCATGTCTGAATCCTTCCTTCCACACTCATACCATCTACATTGTATTGGTCCACCGCTTACTATCCAGACATTAATGTCTCATATGATTATTAATTACCATGAAATGCTCCTTTAGAAGTAACCTGTAACTCTGTTTACAAAATCCACATAAAAAGAGCAGATGTTTTTACAGGGCTTTCTTTTTCCTAAGAAGATATCCGATCACATTTCAGCATCTCATTACTAAATTGCTTTACACCTAGCTGCATATAAATGCAGCCATTAATTCTACCAACATATATCCGTACTTCACCTTATACAAATAAGAAATCCCAATGTGAAATCAATCCTTAAGGCGGAGATCATAAACTACAGGCTTAACTGTATATAGGATCACTGAAATCAATAAAGCCATCCCAAATTAAACTAGCAAACGGTCTTGTTCTATGTATCTTTAATCTAGACCACTTCAACCTATTGTGAATTAAGAGAGTGATCTAGCAGACATCTTCTGTATTATGCATTGGTTTTCATCTAAGTAAGCTGCTGCCTACTCCAGTGACTACTACTGCTTACTGAGTTTCTTGACATAACCTCATTGTCATTTCATTTGAAATAGTATACATAAAAGATGAATATATCAAATGCTAACCAGGTCTAACACAAACACAAGAAAAAAATAGCTTATATTACTTTGATAAACCTGTCCCCTAACAATTTCATCTCCCTGTGACTAAATGCTAAATATAAATATTGCATTAGCTCTCCCAAGCTTGTTGCTTTTGATAGAAGTAACTCAGAGTTCATCACTACAAGTATATACTAATGAGATCCCTTTGGTATTACAACTATATACTGGTTAATTACAGAGCCTCCATTTACTCATGGGATGTATCTTTCTTCATGTGTATAGAGATTGTTCCTTAAGGTTAAACACAATAGATACAAGCAAACTTCTACAATAACATTAACACAATTTATCATTGCAAATTGGGAAGTGTTTCTTGATTGGACAATTTTACAGGTGAGAAAATCAAAGCACAGCAGTATCACCAAGCCACCCAGGCAGGTGCTTGTTGCCAAGTACTAAACCAGGAGAAAATTGGAGCATTTGGGGTAGTTGTATAAAGCAAATATTTAATTCCAAGTCAAAGTAGTGTGAAATGACCTATTTCTTCATTTTATATTTTCTCAATGGAAATTGATTTGGAGCATTCAGCTCGTTCTGAATTTTCCCAATGAAAACATACGTACAAATTTTTGTAGTAAAATGAAGAATGTTAGTGGATATTTGGTACTCTGGCAGAGAATGCAGAATAGCACGGCAGTGAGTCCAGGCTCTCCTCAGCTCTGACGCAGAAGTGTGCTCCACTGAAAGCACCATCACCACTTGCTTCAAAACAGGGAACTCCCTGGAAGATTTTAATTTTCTGCCTGGTTGTAGCATCCTCTGCTGAGCCGGAAGGAGCTGATAAATTCAGTACGAAGTAGCATGTGGCAGCGAGCCATAAGAAAGCACTGCATTTCCGAACAATTACAGCACATTTTTGCTGGTGCTGGGAGACACAAGGCTACAGTCCAAGTGCTTAGCCACTTGAGAAGTGCAATTATGTGCTGGAAATGCACTGCCTGGAACAATCCTTCTTATGAAATTAAAATTACCAACTAAAATGGGGGGGTAAGTTTCTTTCCATGTCGTTTATTGCAACATCCTTGTCAACCCTGCTGCTTCTTTCCTTTTTACCCAAAGTTTACCCAAATCAAGGCAACAAATCACTATTCCTGTCTTACCCTTTTTATGTTTAAAATGTGTGAAAATATTGTCATTACCTTTATACTGTGCCACACTGTCAGTTATGTCTGCATGCCTCCTTGTATCCTTTCAACATCACCTTACCTCGCATTTGTGTGAGGTATCCTTTCAACATCACCTTACCTCACATTTATGCCATGCATTTGTAACAGAAAAATTCTAGGAAGGCATCTCAGTCTTCAATTTTGCACATTTTTTTGCTTATGTCTTATGTTCTATGTAATACATCACAACTGCTTGTGTAGCCACCATTTTGTCAGTATATTTGTGTGGTAGATAAAGACGGAGGAGGCTAGTAGGCCATTGTCTATGAGTTATGGTTACTGCCTAAAAGTATATATTAGTGCTGCATTGCCAGAGTTTTATTCTAATTTTGGGAGTAAGTAAATGGCAAAGGCTATAGTTCATAGTGAAAAGGCTGACCCCAGCAAATGCTGAAAAGGTGAACTTTTATGTGTCTCTAAACAAAGTAAGCTGTTGAAAATCAAGCTCATATAGGTAAACAATCCACAAAACAGGGGAAAAGATACCCTCATTTGACAGCTACATCAATAATAGCTCTGGTAATAAACAAGCACTCAGTTCCATTACTGGAAAGAGCTATATGAATCCTTTATGCTGTCAATTTTGAGCTAATAAAATCTCACTAATTTTTCTGGGTATTAACTGGTAAATGAGCATCTCAAATAAAATAAAAGTTTATAGTCAAAAATCATACTCATACCTTTATATTTTAGTTCTTTGCAGTAGGGCATAAAATCAGTAAAAAAAAAACCCTGAGAATATAAGAGACAAAACAAAAATTAAAAAAAAATCAAGAATCATATAAAACCACAAAACTTCAGAGGCGTTTTAGAAAGCAGCATTAAAAGGAAACTTAAGAGGCCATCTGGTACATGTCTCTGCCTGAACACCTATGTCACCCACTGAAAAATTCTTCAGACATTTCAAATTTAAATATCTAAAGACATTTAAAATTTACTCTCAGGTCTCTACACTTTTTTTAAAGTGATACAAGAAACAGGTATTTGGAGGCAAAGTGATGAAAAAAAGGAGTCTCAGAGACCAGTGAAGAGGAAAATGAAGTTGATGAGCTCAAGGCTTTATAAAAAACTGCAGAAAGAAAACAAGCAGGAAACCGGCAGTTTAAAAGACTAAAAAACAAAAAGGGAGGAGAAATAAATCCCACCCCTCCATACACATGTATATAAGCAGACAAAAATATCTTGTACCGTGTACCTCCTAATGACTCCCTGATAGGAAAGGAACAAAGAACTATATAATAAAATGATAAAGCCAAGTAAGACACCACCAGAGAAAACATATGGCAATGTAGTAATTATTTGTATAGAATAAATAATTATTTTTTAATAATCAATCCATGAGCCAGTCTGTCTGTGGTTCTGTATTTTTTTTGCTGTGTCTAGAGACATAAAAGCATGTGCAGTGGTTGGTTCAAAGCTTTGGACATACTGACCAGCATGGTGGATCTGCCTCTTGCAACGAAAAGGGGAAGCTGTAACTTGCTTTCGCTTCCTTAGGACACTATCTTCCATCTTCCTTCTAACACAGCTGTTGACTTCCAATAAAACTTAAATTTCATAGGTTTTGGACATCCCACTCCACTGACATTCAGACAAAATTTGTTAATAGGTTCAACCAAGGATTGCTGTCAAAAGCAGGGACAGCAGCAGCATAGGAAAGAAAGGAAAAAGATAACATGCATAGGATGCATTTACACGAGAAATCCAAGTTAAACACATAAGATGAAAAATACAAGCATCTGTTCTTCAATAAGTAGCATCAGGAAAAGCAATATGGCATTGGAAAACCTTTTTTTCTTTTTTTAACTGAAGGAGGATATCTTTATGTAGGCCTTATTCTTTTTCACATACCAATAGGTGAAAGCTGTCATCAATCTCAACCTGAGCAGCAGCTATAATTTCAGAAGGCCCAAATGGAAATTGAATGAAAATGCATTTATTTAATCTTTAAGTTCATCTTTTCAGAATAGACTTTTAGAATTATTTCATATCTGAAACATTGCTGCCCTGTCCATAGCTTTGATACAAAAATATCTGAATGGTTGCAATGATACTCATCTATGATAAGCATAAAGCTCATATAATTGATTTAAACAGAAAAATTATATATGGACTCACAAATCTTGTTGTTCCAGTTCTGAGACAGACATTATATAATAAGAAATTGTGAATTCATTTATCCAACCAGCACAGCACAACAAAACTGTTGTGTATTAGGTCTGTAGATCACATGTACAGTATATTAAATTCACTTGTAGACAGATAATTATGTTTCCATATAAAAGCCATTACAAATAATAAATAATTAAATATATGTATGAATTGACAAATAATGTGCCAGATCATACAGATAATTCATATGTTAGCTTCATTGCTAACAAACAGTAATAAATAGACCACTGTATGTTATCCACCACGGTACCTTTACTTTATTCAAATTTCCCAAATACATAGATACGTGAACTTTTAAATTCATTTCACCCTTAGGCACTCAAAGCAAGTAATGCATATTACCAGCTAGATCCTGAAAATAAATCTAGCTTATCTCATTCCCTTTCTCATTGCAGTCCTTATCCTGAGGAAGAATCAAAATGTCACTGCTGCAAGAGAAATTAGGTTAATAGAAGCTCTCTTCATGTAGCCTTCTCTAGGCAAGGGATAGGTTTGAAGGTCACTTCAGTGTTCTCCATCAGTACCAAATCATATCTGCACAGCTGCAGCCTACAAAAAGTAGAAAAAAAAAATGAACACAATAGAAGTTAACACTAATATAAAAATATTTCAGTATTTGAAACATTAAATCCCCAGTATGTACAAGCTCTCAGAGACAGTATTTAGGACAAGAAGAAATATCTTGTTTAAGTTTACACCCTATTTTATGTATCTCTAGAGTAGTTTTGCCACACTGGAGAACAACCAGGACAATAGCTGGATGGTGCAAAGTGGCATGAGTAAGAAATGTATCCCATTAGTCTGAAATATGAAGATGCAATATTTCGGCATTAAAGTTATTAATCTGCGTTCAAATTAATTCTTCAGAACAATGGTCCAAGAACAGCCCAATTCTTGTCAACGCTGGACCTGAATAATTTATTTTGAGTTCCCTAGGTATTGAAGTTTCTCTGCTTTCATTCCACAGTGGAAAGTAGAACACCACATCATATAACTTGTTCAGTTGCAATGACAGCAAGTGTAAGAAAGTTTCATGCAAGAGAATAGTTTGCCATCTAAACATCTAGAAAACTCAGAACTGCATAATACTACATGAGCACATACAAAGGGAGACATAACACACAGAATCTTACTTTTTGAGGTCAACATGGATGCTCTACCTTTTAGGGCAGAAGAAGGTCACAGCTCTGCCCTTCATGTGCTACTATACATGGTGAGAGCTGGTATGACCAGGCTAATGACTAGTGTACCCTCTGATGGCACATCTGATGGTGTACTAGCTATGATACTTATTTTATTTAGAATTATCATCTATATTGCTCTGAACACACAATAAGGTTATAGAACATAATCTGCCTCAGACTGGGATGTAGTGTGCAGTGAAACAGCTAAAGGACAAAGCTTGAGAAAGAGCATCCTGCCAAACCTTTCTGCTGTTGCCTATTAGTGTGAGATTTTCAACAAGTCTCTACCTGTCTGTATGTGAAAGGAGTCAGATTTCTATATATGAATTTGAAACTTTGTAAGGTCCCTACAAAGCTAAGACTAGATTTTATGTCTAAAAAGATCAAGACAAATTCTGGTTTTCTGTATCATGCAAAGCATAAAATTTCATCCAGTCCTTCATCCACAATTTGTTTTGATTTTAATTCAATGGTTTACAATAATAATATTTTTGTACAGGGAGAAAAGCACAGAAAATGATAGCATTTTAATAGTCCTTGTAAAAGACTGTGAAAGAATTCGCAGGGCAAATTTCCAGCTATAACAATGTAAGATTATTATATGCATCCATTTCCTGAGTTGACTTTCACCATTTCACATAACAATCAGCACAGTATGTTAACGTAGCCAGCTCTCCACCAGCAGTCATCACCTGGGAAGGGCTTTATCTAACCACAGGGGACACAGTACTTAGACAAGCCATAATGATGAATACTAGAAATAAAAACATGGGTTTTGACATATTCTGTCTAATTTTAAGTGCAATCCATCTAAGCTTGTGATTACTGAGTACCAGGAATGGCTTATGGCAGAGTAGTCCTGAGTGAGGAGCAAGTTCTCCAGTTCACTGACAAAGAGCAAAACAAAACAGCTTTTGTTATGTGAGGCTTTTACAGTCCCTTAGCCCATGTGGTTTACTTGCCATCTACTTAAAAGCAAGGGCATGCCACACTCACTTGTTCAGTAAAGGTCTTCTTTTTTATTACTCCTGTTCTTGTTTTCATTAAAGAAACCCAAAGGTAGCTGGGCAAAGTATCTTTAAGACCTTCACTTTCTCCATCAATTGAGCGTTAAGTGACTGACAGGTTCAAAAGCTCTTTGGAACAGCTGACACCTGGACATGTAGAAGTTTGGAAAACTTCCTGGCTTTATGAGTGAGCAGGAAGGATTTATCCCGGAGACCAGAAGAATAATCTGAAAATTATATGTACCTTTTAGCGTTCTCACATTCACATACCACCTGTGTGAATAATGGACCAGCCCAGTAGACAATTGGTTGGTGAAATTCCTCAAACTCCCACTGTCCGCTATGAACTCAGATCTGGGGAGCCTGAGATTTCTATTGTCTTTTATCCCTGTACCAGTCCCCTGGATTTACCTACTACTTTATTATGTGGATAATTGAAATATTTTTAATGCAGTTTCTGGGTGATTATCTTGTATTCAAGTAATTGTTGTAATTACATGTAACTGAATAAGGTAAATATAGGTAGTTATAATTACAATGAGCAATTATGTAATTATATGAACCAATAGTGTTGTAACATCTGCATTTAAATTGCCTTCACAAGCTGATTCAAAACACTATTTTCCATTGCCATCTAAAAGTATCTAAGGCGCTTATATGACTGCCATCTGTTCAGGCTCCGTATGAAGGATTTTAATGGTTCCTACTTTAAAGCAAATCAAGCGCATCTTACTTTAAAACTAACAAGAGTCAGAGTAACAGGAATGGAAACTCTAAACCATAAAGGCTACTGACTGAAGATTTTCTGTATTTGCTAGGTCATTAACTGAAAAAGTCCTGAATGTTGATAGGGTTGCATGAAATGTATCTTCTGATTTACCACCATCAGGTTGAGAAAAAAGATTGCAATATGATTTAGAGCTTTTACCGTATCTCATCACCACCTGTTTTTCAACAAAATCATGTCACTTCACCTGATAGCTTGAGACTTACGGTCTTCCATATCTTAACGAGTATTCATTCTGGGGTACTATTTTGATTACCTAGTGTTCTGTTTCTTCCTAAGTCTGTCTCACCTATCTTCCCCTCTTTTCCAGTAAATACAAAATAGGAGATATAAATACAAAATAGGAGATAACAAGGTTTCATAATGTTTACAAAGGGTCGTACCCAATTCCTACTAGACTATTATCATATACCAAATCAGAAAGCCATAAATGTTATTTCTCAAGTTAACAAAATATACTGGCTTTAAACTTACTCATATTGTAGTATTATTCCCACTCATTATTTATTTGATAAGTACCACTACTTATCACTACTGAGCTTTATTTTAAATTCTGACTTTGTTGAATCTGCCATTCATATGAAGCAAAGAGATGTAACGATTTTAATATAACATACTCTTGCTACTCCTGGATATTTCCTGCCTATTCCATCTAATACGTTATTTTCACAAGATGCAAACATTAAATGTAATTGGTAGTGTTATGGTACAAGTACCTCTGGAGATTTAAAATAATGAACATAGGATCATAGGATAGTTAGGGTTGGAAAGGACCTTAAGATCATCTAGTTCCAACCCCCCTGCCATGGGCAAGGACACCTCACACTAAACCATGCCATCCAAGGCTTTGTCCAACCTGGCCTTGAACACCACCAGGGATGGAGCATTCACAACTTCCCTGGGCAACCCATTCCAGTGCCAACATATGGCAATACTGCTGAAATATTTAAACCCAGATATAATTAATAAAAGCTTATTAATGACACAAATATAAAAAAATGCAGATTATTTCATTTTTAGTGTAATCAAGCACAAGTGCTAGTCTTCAAAGGTCTTGGTCTTTGTCTACAGCAACAAGACCAAAAACCTATTCCAGTAACACAAGTGGCTGAAGTGCTCCATTTCATGTGTGAAAAGCTGTGTACCAACACATGACTAAGGTAAAAGTAGTTCTTAATAAAATTTATCTTCTGGAAGAGATCTTAACCGTGCAGGTATAAGTCAGGCTGGTCTACACAAGTGGTCCTTGTAAACACATTGTGACCAGACAGCAGCAGCAGCCTCCTGTAACAGGCAGCATGCGTGACATCTACATGTACAAGGGTGCTGTGCACTAAATGTTAATGAGCAGCTCTTCCACATGATAAATTTGACCCTAGTAGGATGAGAAGGATATTCATGCATCTAGGAATACATTATTAATTATTCTAGGAATACATTATTTAAAAAGTCAATAAAGGGAAATACACATTTCTGAGGAAACATCCTGAGCACATCCATAATTTGGATACGTGACAAACACTTACCTTTCTGGATTATTAAGAGATTTCAGCCTCATCTGGAGAACCCTAAGCTTGTGTTTTGGTCCTATTACGGTCTTCGTAGAAAAGGTCAAGGACATTTTTGATATTTTGTCAAGGTCTTGGTAAAATCCAGTTAGTATTTTGACTCTTTTATATTGCTGAAATGTTGAAGCTTCACTAAAGAAAAATGATATTTTGAGTCAGGGGTGTGTTAGATGAATAATATTCATTGTTACTAATAATTTATTAAGTTCAAAAATCTTGTGAGATGTATTGACTTTGAGCATTCAGAACAAGGACACCTAGAACTGGATTCAAACTAGCACCATGCAAGGACCTGTGGTAATTCATAAATGGACCATTTTAGTGTGAGGGCCATTGCCTCTGACAGTAAGCTATATCCAGAAAGGAGCTGTGAAAAAGTCTTAACAATCTCATGATACTTTTTGACTTACTTACATCTTAACAAGTTAAAGGTTTAAGAAACTTAGAAAATTAGTCCTATAAAGTGATTAAAGAGATTCAGAGACAAAGCACAACATACCTATTCATCTCTGATTCTACTGTGTTTCCAGCATAGTCAGTTAATTTAACTTTAATGAAACCTCTCCTAATGTTTTTATTCCAGGTAGTAATATCCAGTAAGTAGTTATACACTGCAAAAAGAAATAGGAAATAATAGATTCAAGGCATGACCTTAACAGGATATAGCTGTTATTATCACCCTGTTAAACATATACATTAGTTGATGATAGGAATGGTGACTCTTTACTTCAAAGTGTATTTTTCTGCTAGAAGTATGAATAAGGAGACAGACCTATAGGCCTGTGCAGCCTTGAGAGTATGCAGGGGCAAAGTCCAAGCAGACAAGAGCAGGGAAAAACAGTGGTAGCAGGTTTGGGTTGAGCTGAGAGAGCACTGGGAATAGGAGTTGATTTATATAAAATCAATCACATCTTTGTTAGCCTCTCCTTGACCCTTTGGAAGAAACAGTGATGTAAGTAAGCATGATCATCACTATAAAAAGAGATAGTCCCTGGTCACAAAACTTGCCAAGACAATGGAAAAAGCTAATGGAAAAACTTAATTTCACTTGAATTCTCCATAAGCCTATCTCCATACCCCAAATCAAAGAACCTTAAACATAGCCAATCAGAAAAGTGTGCTAACATTTGCCTGTGATAGTAGAGTCTGCTAATAAAAGAAATTGAATGAAAATCTAAACGGGACATCTACATGGATATTTAGATACCTAAACTGATGCAGCTAAAGCCCATGCCATGAGAATTCATTCCCATGGAGTATAACCCTGAAGCTAAGTTTTCCCTCCACTGTTTTACTTCGAGGAAGAAATGGACTTTTAAAAGTTGGAGTAGCTGTAGTTGACTGTGTGGTGTTCTCCTTCTGGGATGGAACATAGAGGTGTCTCTTTGCTGTCCCCCACCCAGGGCAATCTCCCATTTTTTGCCCTCTGAAGATGGCAGCAATGATCCAGTCTAAGCAGGTTCTCTCAGCCCAGCTTTTTCCCTGTCACTTGATTCTCATTTTCTGGCTTCCTTCTTCCTCTTGGCAGTCTATCCCATTGCTTTTAATGTTTTCATTATTACTTACTCGTCTGCCACAACCATTCTTCTTCCTCCAGTCTGCAAACTGACACTTAGCTCATGGTTTATTACACCATTTTACACACCAGCTAACAATAACTTTCTACTCTTAACATGCTTTCACTCTAGATCAGCTAACAAATAACAGCTATCAGATAACAAATAACAGCCATTTCATAAAGAGTTCATTATGCATGTATTCAGTCACTCACTGCAGAATGGGTCTTGGTCCGTGGTATCAAAATAAGCTTTTGTTGGTGAACTGTTTGGGATTAACATTTTTTTCCATCTATCAGCATAATAACCTGAAATCCAAAGTTTAAATATTTAATTTCAGACATTCAGGAAAATTATGATACATATATAACTTCACAAAAGAACCTCACCCAAAGTGACAGATTTGTCTTCCATTTTCTTAAATATTCTCTGACAAAGTAAATTGAATTAGAAAATACAGGAATCCCTTGAATATAATAGGATTTGGTATGTAAGAATTTCATTCTTATGATATTTTAGTATCACTAAAATTGTCATAATATAACAGTTGGAATCTATTTAGTCTAGAGTACGAACTCAAAAAAAATAGTGCTTGTAAACTCCAGCAGAGGTAATGAAAACAAACCACAAAAAGTACCCCACATATTTGCAGAGAACAGCTAGATAATAGCTTCACATTAGGTAAAATTTCTTCCTTTTTTTTTTTTTTGAATCATTAAAGTAAATATTTTTAAATCCTTCAGTCTATAATTGTGATTATTCTTTAATAAGATGATAGGTAGTCCGTAAGGCTCCTTACCTTATGAATATGATGTAGAAAGAACTTTTGGGTTATACAATTCTATGCTTATTTTCTTCAGGGCTTGATAACAGTCCTTGTTCCTAAAATGGTTGATCTTATTCTCTCCCTCTTAATTTCATTACCTAGACCGAAAAATGAGGGCTAGTTCCAGGCTGCAGAGCTGCTACTGCAAGGCAGCAAGCACGAAAGCTTGCAGTAGAAGGACTAAAAAATAGGTGACACCCGAGTGTTCAAATATTTCTCCCTCTTGTAGCTTGGGCATTCATTGTAAGTGCATCAGGCATGGCTAATAACCATGCTAGGGTAGTCCTGGAATCTTTCTGTCCTACTATAAGGTCCCATCACAGTTGTGTTTTATTATAAAATAGCATACAGATCTGTCTGTCTATGCTTTTTCTTCAAACCTGATCTAACTAGTATAGGTGTACATCCTAATAAAAGGATGTAAAAAACACAAGTTATGTATTTAAAGTTAACTTCTTACTTTAAAAATTAATTCATAAGAAAACCCTGCCAACTATGAAATTCTCACACTATTGTAGCTCTCTTCAAACTGTTCCCAGATCCTCTCTAAAAGCAATAAAATCCCAAAAGGCTAAAAACCCCTCCAAATAAAAGCTTGGTTCCAAAAGAAGAGACAAAGAAACCATGAAGGCTCTATAAATATTATTACTCTTCAATAAATGTGCTCTAGGGATGGTAACATACTGTCAAAGCTTGTAAAAGTGATGAACTAGGAAGGAGCAGTTTCTCTGTAGAAAGGAAATATACTGTGAACCCATTTCAGACTAGAAAGTATAATGATCAAGATTAGGAACACTCAGCACCTGTGCCTAGCAGAGATAGCTATAAAGCAGACAAAGCCATAAACTTTAAACTAGTTTAAACAGTATGCAGCTTTGCATGTGATCAGTCTCTACGGATCCCTTAACACGATATTACAGATATCTAGAGTGGACCCGAAATAACTAGGTTGTATTTCCTGCAAACTCTCACCCAGCCTACAGTAAATTTCACAATACTTACCCAGTATTGGACAGGACATTGGGTGGAAAGCTTCACAATCAACACATTTTCCTCTCTTGTAATCAAAGTAAGAGTCACAAGGATATGTTATTATGTCGCATCTTCTTTTCAAAGATGATAAGAAAAGAAAGACGGATCTTTGATGGTCACACTTAAAATACTGAAGTCCTTTAGGAAAGAAAAAATGAAATACTCAGAGAATATGTCTTTTTTTTTCATAAAATAAAAGCTTTTATCAAAGTAATCCCATTTACCTGAGTTATTCTTAGCTAGCCCTGGTTTTATTCTTTTGTTAGTTGACCACCAATTGGATGGTCACACACACACAAGAAAAAATTGAAGACTATTTTGAATATCACATGTACAGACAAAAGTCTAAAGGTTTTATATTTAAGAAATAGTCTCCCAAATCATAACAGATTTACAGGGTTTTTTTTTTGCTAGAAAATGTGAGTCTGAGTTAAAATTTGCCTCATTGCAGGCTGTTTTGGGGGGTAATAAATTCCTCCCTCTCCTAGCAGAACAAACTATGAGAACTGTACAGATGAAGACGATCCTGAGTTTTAAGGAATTCTCCCAAACTCACAGACATACAAGTGGAAGCCCTATGCTTTTGCAGCAGCTCTAATTTGTAGCACCACTATGCAGATTAGTGGTGCTGTAATAGAAACATAGACAGACTTAAACATATGCAAAAAGAGTAAAAAAAAAACAACAATGGGCAGCAGCCTTGCTTAAGATTTTGGGGGCTGAAAAAAGCAAAATTTTGCAGCAAAAGATCATGTCATAAAATTGTTTTTATCCTAGAATTTGCAGGACCCTTCAAACCCTACTGCATTACTGCCAATGAGGAGGAATCTAAGACACAGTGAAGACTTGAAAGCCTTGCCTTCCATGTCATATGCAAGTGATCCTGTCTAAACCACTTGGACACAGCTTCCCCCATGCCTAGTCATATATAAACATAGAATAATAATGATCACTATGTGCTAGTTGTATATATATATATATAATTTTATCATAACAATAATAATGATATGGTGGAATACGTATGTTCATAGGAAAATACAAAAAAAAAGATGTCAAATATATTTGTTATTTCTCATTTGCTGAGTGGAGGTGGTAAAGAAAGAATCCAAAGGCCTCAGCTCCCATATTAATGAATACGTGCAGTGTCCATTAACTTCTTTTGATTCGATCTCAGTCTTTTTTCATTAATTGAACACATTCATATTTACCGCTGAATATTGTTTGTGGACAACCAGGCTGATCCGTTCCTCCATTTGGATAGAAATCAATGGTTCCTAAAGGTTTCTTGAAACCTAGCGCTAAAGTAAAAACATCAGGAATCAAAATCATAAGCAGAACTATCTAGTCATTTATTTATCATTACATTCCTTACAAAATAACATGGAGGTCTTAAAGGAAAATTTTGCAATTATACTGTTCTTTTGTTCTCTAAATGGAAGTCATGTTATGAGTTAAAATCACAAATCCCACCAAAAAAAAAAAGTTTTTTTTTCCTTTGTAAGAAAATTATACACATGTGAAATGCTGTACATAAATGTATAAAAATTTGTGTCAAGATTCGTACTGCCACAAAAGAAAAAGGAAAAAACAGAAGCAACTATTCAGTGCTGTATCAGACATTATTTGCACAAAGAAAACAATGAAATTCATGTTCTCTCCAACAAACAAAATTCTTTCCCAATGTAATTTTTGTTACAATAAGATCTTCCATTTTTTTTTTTTTGCATACAATATTGGATTCTGAGCTACACTAATACAAGCAATATATCAAAGCAAAAAAATCTGTATCTGCTCCATAAAAGACGATGAGTAGCTTTAGGTCAATCTTACCTGTCTTCCTTTTTTACTACAACTTCTCTTTATTTACATAATATGAACATTAAAACCCCAGGTTTTTTAAAGATTCATATACAAATTTGTGTAGTAAAAAGCTTAATTTTCAACATTATAAAAGAAACTGGTGTGAAACTACGCAAATACTGCAATGAGAGTGGTAGGTGTGAAAGGTTTACTTATAATTCTGAGGAAAACATTAAACCAGATTATAGCATGGGTGAGCATTTACAATATTCTTTGTTTTAACCTTACAATAATGTGTTTTACAACTTTAAGCACTAGATCTGTAGTGTACTAACATGATACAGCTGAGATGGGGTGCCTCAGAAAGGACTAATTCAGTGATAATCACATGCTAACAACTGCTATGTTCATATACAGTAGCACAGCAAAAAAAAATGTTAATACTGAACCATTTTGGAAGTGGCAGTATCATAAATCAACGCAATAGGCGTGCTTTACTCAGTGTGTGGGCTTGCTCTTTTCATATTCAGAAGGAATATACTATAACAAACAAAACATAAATGACTGACATTATCACTACTTTAGCATTACATTAAATAGACTCATGACTATGGTTATCTACATATGCTTTCAGTTAGCTGTTGGCATTAAAGTTATTTCAATATTTTCAGGTTCAGCCATCCAGCCTCTCTTACTCAATAACCTAGCTATTTATGTGAGAACTGAACAAAACAGCTCATCACTGCTTAAGTTACTAGCTAAGCTGAGTTTCAATTTCTTTTGATGAATAGGCATAATAACGTACAGCATGATTTCAAAATTATAGATATTGTTAGAAAGCAACAGCACAGCAACCTACATAACACAAAATATGTTACTGAAATATCCTTTCTCTTTTGCTTTCCTGCCTTTCCTAAAGTTCAAATAGGAAAGCTATTACCATTAGTCATTACCATCAGTATCTGAATGGATTACATCAACAAACTGTGCATCAGTTCGATCCAGTCTCCCTTCTGGTGGCTCTCGAGTGAACAAAGGGCCTGCTGGATCAAGACCTAAATAAAAATAACACTAGCATTACAAATCCTGGCAGATATATACAAGACCAATGTATATGATTCTATTTAAGCACTATTTATCAATGACTCTTCATATTCCTGGGATAAGAATAAAAATAAAATCCAGTACAGTTCTTCCCAAGTTTCCATTCTTCAACTTTCTAAGCAAAGGGAGGGTTCGTACAAGACTGATCAACCCACCTCTTTGAATTTCTCTCTCTCCATAATTCATTGTGCTTATCTCCCACTTCCCCAGATGAAGATGAGCCAACAGCATTAGGGATCAAATCCTGAGAAATATAAACACTGTGGATTCTCATGCACTTTACGGATAGGGAATTATTGTTGTGCAGCCCTGAAGCCTGGTAAATTTCAAAATGATAATTTCTGTCCTTCACTGAAAAGTGAAATTTTTAGCTGAAGTTTCCTCTGCTCCTATTTTCTTGACAACAAAAGCACAGACAAAATGAGGAAAAGAAAAAGCAGCAAACATGGAAAATTAAACTGTCAAGGCAAAACATATTCCTACACTTCAATGACTCCTAATTACATTCACACTGACTAAAGGACAGGGACATTGCATGACCTTAGATTATCTAAATTTATATTATGATTTAACTGCCAGATGTGCTTTAAGAACTAGTCTAGGAAGGTTCTCTCTCAAGATCAAGATAACCAAGTCCCAGACTACCACAGAGGATCATGGAATGCCAGGAATTTGCATTCATAGTACCCTAGGTGACAAAGGTCGTTGGTTTAGTCCACTAATTAGTTTTATACTTTCAAAACCTCCAAACAGTGAGGAGGAAAATAACTTTTTCTTCTTTTTTTTTTTTTAAATCTCATTTTTCCAACATTTCTAATATTTTGAGCCACCGGCTCAACTCATTTGAAAGTATCAAAACAGTCTCATAAGAGGTTATAATCCTTGTGTGTTCAGACTGCTCAATCTTTGCCTTTATATATCCACATCTGTAATTATAAGAAGGCGGTTGAAATATCTCATATAATTCCATTTACCTGTGAGCAACTGAGTTCAGAAATTACATGGAGCTATTTATTGTACAGAGAGGACACAGACCTGCTAGCCTAGCATTGTAGTCAAGTCTGCCCTCAAGCAGTGATGCAAACTCTAGGGAATTGTATAAAGCATAACTGAGTACTCTTAACCAGTGGAATATAGCTGGAGCCTGTCACACTCTTAGAAAATGCCCTGATTTTCAGATTACTGTACAAAGAGGTGTGGAGTCTCTAATGCCCTTTGTTAAGGCTTGCTTCTGGCTCTTCTTACATTTCTGGAAACAAATCACTTAAGTACTCTGAAGAGAGAGTTTGGAGATATAAATCTCAAGGAGAGGCAACTTCCTCCTTTCAGATGAAAACAGCTGATCTCTCAAATCCTAAACACTATCAGGCTCCAACAGTCTCTTCTCCCCTTAGCATCTTTTTTGAGAGTTAGCTTAGTCAGTTTCCCTCTCAACACACTAGCTGCAGTGAGTTCTGCTGTTTCACTGCAAGAAGTATTTGGAGCCTCAAGTGCACTCGAGTCAGCACTATGGCTTTTGCAATAAGAATCAGCACCTAAAAGTTAAACATAAACTGTGTAGTCCCGAAAGATGTACCCACATTGAGGGTATTCCATTGTTCGCTCTACGCACCTGTGCTGGTTCTGGCTGGAGCAGAGTTAATTTTCTCCATAGGAGCTAATGTGGGGCTGTGTTTTGGATTGTGCTGAGAACAGTGTTGATAACACAGGGATGTTTCAGTCACTGCTGAGCAGTGCTCACACAGAGCCAAGCGTTTTTCTGCTCCTCACTCCACTAGCGAGTGGCCTGGGGGGGCACAAGGAGTTGGGACAGGACTCGGCAAGGACAGCTGAACCAGGCTGACCAAAGGGGTGTTCCAGACTGTACGGTGTCATGTTCAGCATAAAGAGCTGGGGGAAGAAGGAGAAAGTGGGGGGACTTTTGGAGTGATGGCATTTGTCTTTACAAGTCACTGTTGTGCATGATGGAACCCTGCTGTCCTGGAGATGGCTGAACACACCTGCCATGGGAAGTGGTGAATGAGCTCCTTGTTTTTCTTTGCTTGCACACACATCTTTTGCTTTACCTATTACACTGTTTTTATCTCAACCCATGAGTTTTCTCACTTTTTCTCTTCTGGTTCTTTTTCCTATCCCACTGTGTGGGGAATGAGTGAGTGGCTGGCTGGGGTTTGGTTGCTGGCTGGAGTTAAACCACAACAGCACCAACCCTGCAGCTGTCAATAGCGATCATGCAACAAGTATGAGGTAATATTTGTAGTGCCCATTCACAGGTTTCACACCTCATCTAAGCTCCCCATACAAGATACCTCAACGTACTGAAGCCTACACTATGTTCAGATACTTCAAACTGAAACTAGATCCTTGTGCCTGATTCCTGTGGTCTCACCAAGAGGTTTTGAACCTCCTTTCAGAGGTACATGACTTGCTTGGTCAACTAGACATAACATTTAACTTAACTGGCATTTGGATGTAGCACTCAATTTTCATTTGAGAGACTAGAGGTAAACAGGATGTAAAATTCAGCTGCAATTTATGTTCTGAAGGAAGACTTCCTCAATTTCCTGAACTTGTTTCAGGAATACATTTTTCCTCACATATATAACTAAATAATTCTCATTTGTTGATATTTCAGTGATAGCATCTATGTGATTTGCAGCTATGACAATGATAAAAGGTACATTAGAATATATATATCAGGATTAAAAGCCTTACCTGTAATCCTGCCAAGCTTGCCATTATACTTTTGGCCAACAAAACCAGCTATATGAGCCCCAAGACTAACTCCAATCATATGCATAGAGTAAAGAGAAGCTCCATCCACCTATTAGGGAAAAAAAAAATCAATCACCAAGCAAAGCCATAGCCACACAAAGTTAAGTGAGCAGACATCAGTTTTCACTTTCTGTCAGTACTCGAAGTTATTTCTCTAACTTTAGAAACAAATGAAAATTACAAAGTTCTTGCCAATTTGCCATCTGTACTAGTTAAACAGTTTAACAATTATGAAATTCTTTGACAAGAAACATGTAAAAGGGAAGCTTTTCCTTTTTATTTCTTCCAAAATACCACCCTAGTTAGAAGGAGAGCAGGGAAGGGAAGGGGAAGGCATTTACCAGATACGAGAAAGATGAACCAAAACTATGAACTAGGAAAAAAAACAAAACAAAACCAAAAAACTATCTTCTCTGCCTTATCCTCCCAATAAAATAGATTAAACCCATAATACCATCAACAAAGACTCATAGCACAGAATTGCAGAATAATGGTGCGAAATGCACACCTGCAGGAATGCCTTAGGGTGCCCATTCTGCAAAGCAGGCAGCACTTAGTAAACAAAACAGAACAAAACCAAAACTACTGAAGAACTCTGAAACACTGTCAGCAGACCTGTTGAAATCTCTGCAAAGTGATAGGATGTTATGTGGGATTTGGTACATTAATATATCTCAGAATGAATTAACAAAGGCCTCACGACAGCTTACAAGTATGCAAGTGATAGCTGTGGGACACAATATACACCGTGACCACCACTTTGATAACTTGCACAACTGCTAAATATACTTTTCCAGCTCACCCTGGGTTGGAGACTATTCTTATAGTCCTAATTTATTTTTCTATTCTTTAACAATAAATTTACATATTACAGCTTGTTATCACTATTCCTTGTCCCAGAGGACAGATTCCGATAGGCTTTCTCTTCTTTCACCCCAGCCTTTCTCAAAACTATTCTTTTTAACTCAAATTCTTCATGAATGTTTTCTTACTACATAGCATTCAAGATTTCTGAGAATGGCTGTGAAAAGAAGTAGTGAGAACAGAAGAAAAATCAAGTGATAAATCTAACAATGACATAAATGAGTTTTGTTCACTCGATTAAGCAATGAATTCAAAGTCAAGTTAAGACCACCAACATCAACAATTGTTGCAGCAACTCCCTTTAGAATCACAAAGTTTATACCATTTGAGAGCAAATATTTATATCTGTCAGGGATTTCTTTTTCACTTAAAATCTTTAATTGTAGTAGTTTAATAGTAAAAAAAAAGCAATGCTTTTGTAAAATTCTAATGCTGCATACTATGTGGACATCTCTCACTTCACCTCCTCACTGGTGCATTTGCTCTTTCCAGAAGACCTAAAACTTCCAGCTTGAGTAAAGAAATCAGAGGCATTCTTCAGTGAAAGGGAAATAAGGACTCAGCTGAAATTTAAGATACGCAGTAAAAACTGCATGCAAACTTAGTAAATACTTTGGTAAAGAAATGTCATTTGATGTTGCTCACTGGGCTTCTTTTTAGAGATATTTAAATATCCATTCCCAGCCAAACTCTGCTATTTAAAGTTATTCAGAGCAGATGCAACTCTCTGCCTTACCAGCATCTGGTCAACATAGTTCTTCAGTATTTCTGCAGCTTTTCTGCAGTTGTCAACAGCAGATACATAGTTCACAGTTGTAGCACCACGATTCCAATCAACTATAATAAGATTAATATCCTCTGAAGACAGTAAAAGCTCCTTTATATCACCTAGCCATGCTGGTGGAGATCCCGTTAGTCTGAAGCCATGAATAACAAAGACAATTTTCTTGGAGGTATTAAGGTACTCAGATGCAGCAACATTGTGTTCAATGAGCCTCTCAGAACAATTTGGGTTTTCCCTTGTGTACAGCAGTAACTGAACTTGGAGTTCTGTTCCAGATAGAGCATTGCCTATATTAAGATCTGTGAATTCAGGACATTTTTTCTTGTCATCTGAAAAAGATGAAAATGTTGGACAGTCATTTGATGAATTAGACCACCTGAAATAGCACCTGATATACCACCTCTTCACTTCTTCTTCCACATTTTTCCACTAAAAGTGAAGAACTTCCTTTTTATTCACTCCAGACCTTTGGAATATGGTGCCAGAATGCGCACTGAACAACACGCAGTTTAACTACTGACTCTGCAAATACCATTACGTTTCTCTGAACCCTTCTAATACAAAATCAACCTTTGTAATTGTCCCTGAATAGTGTTTTCTCTATAATTAATATGAACTAATAGTCAGTGTTGATAAGATCCTTTGCTTAAAACCACCAAATTTAGGTTCTCAGAACTTTTTCACAACTAGTGTGCGTTGTTTAGACAGGTAAACCATTGTGGTCGTTTCTTCTTCTTTTGGCCAGGGTAGCAATGTTGCCAATCCTTAGCCTCATTGATCTAGCAGTAAGAAACAGTTGCCTGACAGTATAGGGATGACCCAGACCCTTTCCCTAATTTTGGATCATTTTAAGGACACTATTGCCAAGAAACAAAGAAAGAAGATGAAAAAAATAGTATCCTGTTCTGAGTTTGAATAGCAAGAATCTGTAAGGTCAATGTACATACTGGCACAAGAAAACTGTGGTATTTGACATTACTGTGATGGTGATGAGGCACTGGAACAGGTTGCCCAAACAAATGGTAAATGCTTCATCCCTGGCATCCAAGGCCAGGTTGGACAGAGACTTGGGCAACATGGTCTAGTGTGAGGTGTCTCTACCTGTGGCAGGGGGGTGGAACTAGATGATCTTAAGGTCCTTTCCAACCTTAACTACTCTATGATTCTATGATTTCTGTACTCGGGGAGCTATGGTATGCAAAGTTAAGCTACAGACCATTCAGGATCAACAAGAGGAAGGCGTTTTTCAAAAGAGCCTAAAAAGACTGTACTTATCAAGGTCAAAAGTTAACCCTTTAAAAAGTAACCTTTGGCTGCTGAGGTCAAATTGTGTGGATAAGACATTTCAGGATTCCAGGCGCAATGCTGAAGCCTGTCACAGCTCTTCTGCATGGCCCATTCACCTTCACTATGGTGTCAGGTGGTTGATGTCCAAAGAAATACAGGCCCATCTCTTGACTTCTTGGCTACACTACTTTGCGCAAGTCTTTTGTCTGATATGGGATGACACCTTCCTCAGTTCTTCTGTCATTAACAACTTTGTAAAACAAGTCAACTTCCAGAAAGCAAAAGTAGAAATAGTACCTACTCAGTTCCTTAAAAAAATAGTTTTAAAATCAAATGAATTCCTCAGAATTTTTGAGGTCAAGGAGAAGCAGATGTAGCTCTTCTCCTTTTCCCAGCAAGCAGCAAGCAGGAAGAACTGAAGCCACAACATGTGCACATCTGAGACGCCCAGCAAGCCCTCACCAGTTGATAAAGCTGTGAAAGGCAAGCGTGTGTGTGTGGGTTACAAGGTATCTGAAAAATGCATTCGATACCATAAAGCAAATCTAATCAAAGCTATACAAAACAAAACAATGTGAATTACAGCACCTAACATTCAGTAAAGACGCTAGAAACACTAATTCACTCAGGGAACTAGACTAATCACCTCATATATGGCCAAACCATGTATGTCAAATGACTAGACCGGTTACCTCTGGACTGGACATCACAAAAAATAATGGATATTTGCAACCAGAGAAGGGTTGAAGTTACAGAGTCTTAGAAAAAGCCTGAAACATTCAGTCTCAAATCAAATGGACTAAAGTTTCATGCCTTATTTTCACCACAATAGCTAAAATTATTACATGTGAGAAAAGTTAGACTTAATAATATTTCAATATAAATATCACTGTCCTCTTCATTTAGACACTGAATAATTTAAGTAACTTTGACTAAGATTACTGTGAAGGTTATTAACTGACTAGTGATACAGGAAGGAAACTCATTTCATTGATCAGACTTATCACTGAATTGTTTGGGCTGGAAAGGATCTTAAAGCTCACTCAGTTCCAATCTCCTGCCATGGGCAGGGACACCTTCCACTAGACAAGGTTGCTCCAAGTCCCGTTCAACCTGGCCTTGAAGACTGCCAGGGATGGGGCAGCCACAGCTTCTCTGGGGACCCTGTGCCAGCTCCTCACCACCCTCACAGGGAAGAATGTCTGCCTAAGAGCTCATCTCAATCTATCCTCTTTCAGTTTAAATCCAAGCAGAAGTTCTGAAACTGAAAGCTGATCCGCTGCAATTGCCTTGAGTTTAACAAAAATAATAAAGAACCTAGGAAAATATCATACATATGACATGATACTGAGGTATTAATAGAATGTATCACATTTAATTTCTAGTTTTCATATAATGATATGCAATGATAAAACTAGAATACAAGTTCTATTACACAAATATACATAACTTATACATAACTCAAAAAACAGCGGCTTGACAGATGATCTTAAGATCCTTTCCAACCCTAACTATTCTATGATTCTATGATTGCATTTTTGCTATTCAGATTCAAAGCTACAACATGAAACTCATTTTTGCCTAATATTCTTCTTAAATCCAAGTTTAATCACTGATCCATACAATTCAGTCCTACATATCTAGCATATAAAAGAGTTATGCTAAGATAATGTTGAGCATATCCATTTAAGTGTTTTGAATGCTTATCATTTGATTGGTAGAAAAAAGAATTAATTTTTCTAAAGGCAGTGCAATGACAGTGACACAAAGCAGTTTTGTCCATGGAACTGAGAAATCTATTACAAGGAAATAATTTAACTGACGGAACCTATTTACTAGCTGGGAAACATCAAAGGGAAACAACTCATTTACTTATGACTGTGAAATGACAGCGGTTATTCTGTGAAAGCAAATAGACAAACAAAGAAAAGATGATGTCTTTACTGTGGAATTAGGTAAGTACTGTAAATAGATTTCTAGATTTAATACGTTGCATAGTTTAGTAAGGATTCATTAAGGGGAGGTTTTTCAAACTCCTATTTCTGATCGATTACTGGAAGGGATATCCCGACTGCCCTTTGTGCACACTTGTGGGAGTACTCACATACACTTTTCTGTACAATCAGAACATGTAGACAGGCGTTGGGCTGTCACATGTTCAGTTTAACTCAATTTCAATGCAATTTTAACTTTCCTGTGTATGTTTGCTATAAGTATCTTCAGTGGTCGAAAAGGGAAAAATCTTAAGTGCACAGTGACTTCCTTGTAACTAAATTTTACTATTTAAAGCATGACATAGCTTGAATACCTGTCAACCTATCAAATCAGCAGTAAACAATAAGATTATGCTACTATGTTAAAAGTATTTCACAATTACCTCTTTACTTGGTACAAAGTGCACATACCTGAGCGTGTCTGGGTGCAAAGTACAGCCAGAGATAAAGTATCAGGCTTCGTTTTATTTATTTTAAAATGAAAACCTACGTCTCAGTTTCAAAGTGACCAAATTCTCCTTACTAATTGTCTGTTCCATGAGACATAATTCACAAGGTATAAATATTTTGGCCAACTTAAACGAAGGAATACTCCTTTTTTTAAATGCTTTAATAAAAGCAAAGAATACATCATGAAGAATAATCTAATGGTCCTTACCTGATTTCACCCAGGATATCAAATAGATGAAGAAACACAATTTCAGCATGTGGAAACGGAGAAAAGTGATAGGTAAAATCCACAGACAAGTGACAAATTGCATGTTTCCTTTCAGCATGCTAGGTTTCTAACCTAACTGAATGCCACTAATGAAGTAAGTGACATGCACAGTAGGAAGGAGAAAGCAAAGCTGTATACAGGCTTCTGCAATTCATGACTCCTCCTATTGAAAGACTTTAGTAAATAGGGTGGTTTCTGCTCTTTAAGGGTTGGAACTGGTTTTTAATCTGTTTCCCTCTCTGCCTATCAGTGGATTTACACGTAAGCAATTATGTTATGTACTACTGATAACACTGTTACACATTGGAATTCAGGAAGCAGAATAACTAGAGGTACATCACCTCAGAGATCCACCCTGTGTCTTCTTTTAAGCGTCACTCAATTGCAATTAGAGGCACTGAGATAGGCAAAAGAAACTCGGAACAAAAAGTCATTCTGGTGACAGAAGGATTTTTCTGTAAGAACTTGAAAATAATTCTGAGAAGTGTATCTCTATGGATTATTCTTGCACAAAGTTATCTTCCGAGCTTTTTCCAAGGTGTCATTCCCTAGGCTAAATCCAGAGGTCTGTGGCATCCTTCTACGGGAGAGAGATGTAGCTTAGAGTCCCACAAACCTCACTCAACCCCTGACTTCCTGGGTGGTTTTGGTACGTCACTTCAATCATTCCCTCTGTGTTCCCAACTACAAAATTGATGAAGAAACATTGATTTTTGTGAAACTCATTTATTTACAAACCAGTTCAGTGGGTAAATACAAGAGGAAAACCTGCAGTTTCCTGGCGTTCATAATGAAGCAAAGAGGCAGGTAAACTCTGCATTATTCAAGTGAGAAGCCTGGATGCCCAGTTTGCCTATATCTGGCCCCCAATTATTTCCACTGCAGGAGTAAGAAAAACATACCACAACCACTCAAATGTGAAGCAGACACATGCCAGAAATGTCTTTTGTAGTGTATCCTTCCCAGTGCTTCTAAGCATAAGGTCTAGGTCTCCCTCTTTTCCTACCACAACAGTTGGTGTTGTGTGTTTCATTACTTTTAAGTGATTGGTCTCTTCAGCTGGCTTTAACGATTCTGAGCAGCTCAACAAAGCTGTGCTACGCAAGCTTCTGCAGCAGATGGGAGGTCTCTTCAAAGGCTTTTCCACTTTCAGTGCAGCTACAAGAAGATGATGCAGTACATCTACTCATATGAAAATCAACCCAGTTTACTTAACCAGTGAGCTTTTATTATGTTTTTGCTTCTATTTTTCAAATGTCACCCTATTCTGACTAAAGTTCACTAAGGCAACTCTTGTTATTCCTTTGCATTCCCTCTTTATCTCAAATCTTTGACACTTTGTCCAACTGTTACAAAAGCACAGCCTTCGTTACATAGAATAAGTAAGGGTATAGTCAATTTGACTCTCTCCTTCTAACTTTTCAATACAGATTATTGTTACAAGAAAAACTAAGTGCACCCAAGCAACCACCACTTAGGCAGCCTCAGCATGCACCCAGTATGCAGTACTCATTCGTATACAAGTTAGAGCATGGAGAACTCAACACCAGTAAAATCAAACTGTTAATAGTCCCAGTAAAATACCTACCACACTTATCCAAGACCATTCACCTGATCTTAGAAGAAAATCTGACATATGTACCTTCAGGTATACATAATGCCACTAGTTGTGAATAAATTGTTAACGCTTGCTCATTTACACATGACTTGGGAAAAGAAAGGAAATGTTAAGCTCCCTCTTGAACTGAAAACCAGTAAGTCCAGCTCACGTATATGTAATGTACAGTGCCACCCATATATGACCCTTGAAACAGTTTTAAAACCCTCTGAAATCAGTGTCAGGAAAGGACTCCCTTACTAAATCAACACCCAGAAAGTTTTTTTGCAGTGTCAATTAGAATCTTGAACTAGTGACTGTTGGACTCTGTTGTATGGCAAGGGGACTTACAGTGGCAATTACGCCAGTTGGAAATTCACAGTTAGTAAACTACTGTTACCATTTACACTGTAGTTTCTACTGACATACCACTGTCAGGTAAATCCTTCAAGGTGACTCTTGAGTTGAGGCTCACTGTCACAAACAGATGTGAGACACTCAAAGCTCAGCAACTGCCCATTCCACTTGGGTGCATATTGCTATGGCCGCAGCTTTTCTTGTAATGATACACTTCTTCTCACACCAAAATTCAGAGGTACCTGCTCTGAAAGTGCCTTACACAAACTAGTGAAGGATGCTGGCACTGCCTTTTCAGGACTTAGCTTGTGTCCCCCCCCCGGTGCTCAGAACTGTTGGAGTAGTACCTCTTGAATGAACCCTGATGCTTTTGGTGGAGCTCACAGCCTGCCTGGTATTAAAAACCCCTCAAGGCTGGCCACAGATTCAAGTAGGAAAAAGACACATTAAAAAACTGAAAACTAAATAAAAATAAATTAAAAAATATAAAACATTAATTTTATTACAGTACAAGTTTACTATGATTTATAGGTAACAGAATGGCACTTTTACAAGTTTACCCCCAAAAGTTTCTGATAAATTAACAACTAAAACCATTACAGCATGGTTTCCAAGATTAAGATCGAATTCTTACACAAGCCGTGATATCCGGATCTGTGGTTACATGTATTTCCCCTTCTAATCTTCTCCCTACCCCGAGGGTTTCGTAATCATGAGAAATCCCACTCTCATAACAACTCTCATTTCTCTCACGAATCAAGCCACTTCTCCAGAAAAATTCTTCTCTAACCACTAGCTTAAGAGTGCTGCTCCCTTTCAGGAAAGATGAAATCATGGAATCCTAAAATTGTAGAACGGTCAGGGTTGGAAAGGGCCTTAACCCCTGCCGTGAATCACACCCGGATTTTGCAATGCAGTGTGTTTAACTACAAAAAAAAAATGTCTAAAGAATACAAAGGGAAAAACCCTGACTGGGCAGAAGTGTAAGGCTATTATGTATTCTACAGTGAGATTTGCTAATTCCTGTAAATCGGTAATCTCTTTCTACATAGACTTGACTACTCAGTAACTAAATCTCCATTAGAGAGTACTGCACACAGAGGCAAAGCACACCATAGAATCATAGAATTATAGAACGGTTTGAGTTGGAAAGGACCTTAAGATCACCTAGTTTTAACCCCCTGCCATGTACAGGGATGCCTCACACTAGACCATGTAACCCAAGGCTCTGTCCAACCCGGCCTTGAACACTGCCAGGGATGGGGCAGCCACAGCTTCTCTGGGCACCCTGTGCCAGTGCCTCAGCACCCTCATAGTAAAGAATTTCTTTCCATTATCTAATCTAAACCTATCCTCTTTCAATTTAAAGCCATTCCTCCTTGTCCTTTCCCTACATGCCCTTATAAAAAGTCCAGATTTCTAGTCCCCCTTTAGGCACTGGGAGGCTACCCTAAGGTCTCCCTGGAGCCTTCTCTTCTCCAGGCTGAACACCACCAGCTCCATCAGCCAGTCATATTCCAGTTCTTTTTAAATACCGAGAAATATTCTGACACTTTACATGATATTTTGTTAGCTATCACAATGCTTTATCATACTGATGACTAAAACACTTGAAGGCTTTAAAAGCTCTCGAAGCAGGATCTGTCATTCAGCCCCACTCCCACAGTTGCCATACCCAGCCAAGGTAGTTGCCATGCAGGGGTGGCAAGAGGAGCTGAGGGTGTTGCAGCACTCTTCCATGTGGTGGTGGTGGTTCTTCACTGCTTGCTTGCAATTCCACCCAGGTGATAAGGAAATACCCAGTGGGCACACACGGCACACACACTTCTTCCCAAGGTCATGTTTCTGTACAATACACATGCTTCCACTGGTACAGCTGACAGTAACAGAATCATAGAGTAGCTTGAGCTTTGAAGGTCCCTTCCAACCCATCTAGTCCAACCCCCCTGCCATGAGCAGGGACATCTTCAACTAGATCAGGCTGCCCAACATCACATCCAGCCTGGCCTGGATTGCCTCCAGGGATGGGGCATCCTCCCTGACAACCTGTGCCAGTGTCTCACCACCCTCATCATAAAGAATTTTTTCCTCACATCCAGCCTGAATCTCCCCTTTTTTAACTTAAAACCATCCCCCCTCTTCCTGTCACAACAGGTCCTGCTAAAAAGCTTAGCACCATATTTCCTATAGGCCCATTTTAAGAACTGAAAGGCCACAATAAGGTCTCCCTGAAGTCATCTCCAGGCTGAACACCCCAACTCAGCCTTTTCTTCTAGGAGAGGTGCTCCATCCAGATCTCTCTGGTCAGCACAGAATACCCAAAATAAAAAACAATGAAATGAGCATCTTAATACGCTGACATTCCCCAAAGAATAACAGCACTAGCAAGCACCTGCCTCGCCTGGCACCAACCAGCTGCATGCATAGCACTACGTAAAAACACTATTAAATACAACGTAGGCCTTGCCACAGCTGTGATGAGGCCTCCAGCAGGACCTACACCCACCTTAAATGACAAGGCTCATGAACTTGGAATCCACGCTTGCCTCAAAAATCAGAGCACTGTGCATGTGAGCTGGCCGGTGCTGTGAAATAGGCAGTCCCTATAGATCACCTGTATGCCATGCTGTGATCTGGATCATTAGCAAATATGATGTGCATAGATAGCTCATCTCTGTCCTCAATGCATCCAGACCCTCCTGGCACAGTTAGCTAAGAACTAAGCCAAGTTTGCAGTAGTGCTCAGGGGTCAGCTGGTAGTCTGACAGGTCTGTTGCTCTCTCATCAAGCACTGGCAACAGAAAAGCACCAGGTTACTGCTTAAGAAAAAACAGGTGTTCAGTTGTGCGCTTCAGGTGATGGAGGCTTCATATCAGTGCCACAGCTCTGCACGTGGAAATGGTCTTGGCCTGAAAAAAAACCCTGTGCTAGGCTTTGGTTACCTAGGCCTCACTGCCAGCAGCCAAGACACTCCTACAGAGACCTCACAGCAGAAGGACATTGGGGAATAACCCTCTGAAGCACACAGTGAAACTGTCAGGTAAGTTTCCATAATATGCTTAGTGTAAGTTCCTTCCCTGCAGCTGGTGCAGTGCTGTGTTTCAGCTTTAGTCTGACAACAACGCTGATAACACACCGATGTTTTAGCTCTTGCTCAGTAGCACTTACCCTGATCAAGGACTTTTCAGTCTCATGCTCTGCCAGTGAGGAGGGGCACAAGAAGCCAGGAGGTAGCAGAGACAAGACACCTGACCCAAACCAGCCAAAGGGGTATTCCATACCACAGAACATCATGCCCAGTATAGAAACTGGGGAGAGTCACAAGGAAGGGACCGATCGGCGCTGGAGTTGGTCTGGGTATCGGTCGGTGGGCGGTGAGCAGCTGTATTGTGTATCACTTGTGCTTTCTGAGCTTTCATTTCTTCTCTTGTTGTTTCCTCTTATTACTGCTGGTATTATTTCTATTACCACTATATTTTACTTTATTTCAGTTATTAAACTGTTCTTAACCAGAGGGGTTTACATTATTTAGATTTGCCTCCCCCTCTACCCAGTGAGGGGAGAAAAAGGCAGGGGGAAAGTGAGCGACTGCGTGGTGCTGAGTTACCAGCTGGGGTTAAACCACAACAGCCCTGGAAAGGGCTTCCCTTTGGATTTGTTTCAGTCAGTGTGAAGACAGCAGTGGACAGAATCAGTCTTTTTGTCTCCTTTGACTCTCTTCTGTCATATTTGGAAGTCAGGGAGAATTTCGGCTACTCTCCTGCGTAGCTGGTTCCTCCTTTCCTCTCTCTCTCTTTCCTCTTTCATCAGCAATGGGTACTGCCTCCATGTCTTGAATGCATTCATCATGACTTTCCTTAAAGAAATGGGGGACACAAAGAACAAAGTGACAACATGCAGATGTGCTGCTAACAGAACAGTTAATCAAAAAAATACTTCCATTTGAGAGGGGAACTCCCCTAAAATAGCAGTGGGATTTGTCTTTTCTGCTACTAGTCATGTCTGTGACATATTAAACATCTCCGTGCACACCACTCCATTAATATGCCAATCATGGCAGGGGAAAATAACACATTACCTTCTCTACTCCTCTCCCCCAAGAATTTTACTTCTCCCTCTAACAGGATTCATTAGCTAGAATTTGCTCAGCATTCTGAAGATGAAAGATATTTCTTGAAGAATAAAAGGGTCTCTGAAAGTTTCTTCAGGAAAAATGCAGGCTCGTTTTGTCCAGACCAACCCCTTGGGAGTGCAGGCAGCTGGGCTTCAATTCTTACCTGATTTTAATTACCCCCACAAAGGTGCCTTGTGCCCTGGGTTCCCAAATGGGCAATAGGGAGCAACAGTCCTGCCTAAAGAACAGTTTGCTATGTCAGGGTCTGAACTGACTTTTGCCAGTCAATGGGGGTAATGAGAACGACGTGATTATGCTCCTGATAGGAGGTCATATGTAGAATGAACCCATTCTTTGCTGGGTCTGAATTTCCCCTGGATGCTCCAGTTTGCTGGCTTGTTGGGTTAAATTATGCACTGTTCTGATCTGCTACAGCAAGCTAAACAGGTTTGCTCTGACACAGAAGAGGTGAATTTAATTTAATTCTTCCTCTGAGGTGCTGTAGATCCTGTTTGGGCTATGCAGTGACAGCCTATTTGTGACTGCAGGCAGCTGACATGCTTTATGGTGAGGTATGCGCACATGCATGTTTTCTGCTAAAACGCACAGCTATGGGACAGTGAGTGAACTGGGTGCGCCAGCTCCAGTCATGATCAACAGAATTGCCTGCTGTAGTTCTCACTGCCAACTCAGGCTGACGATGGCATAAATGGAAAGATTCCTTAAGTAGGCTTTCTATTTCATCAACTTTGGATTTGTGAACTAAATAATCTGTTGTGGACAAAACAATAAAGCGTAATTCCTGCACAATCACTTGGCTTGCTGTCACTGTACCTGAAGATTTTCTTAAGGCAGCTTTTAGCAGAAGCTGCACGGCCAGATCTGCTAATCAGCTTAGAAAGGTTCAATTACTTATCCACTTTCACTGTATTCCCTTTCAGCAGATTTAAAAGTCCTATGAAGTCTACCACTAGATTTCCTTTTCCAGACTGCATGGAAAATTCTTATCATAAACCCCTGTTCATGTTGTCTGTGCATATCATAGAAACAAAACAGCGGCAGTAACGAACCTATTTTCATGTGATTTTGGGGAGCAGGTAACAGACCTGTCAAAAGCAGTGTCTAAAACACCCCGTATAGTATATTAAAAAGAACTGCTGGCAAGGGAGTGCACTTACTTGTCACTATGTTCAGTAGCAATCTTCATCTTCTCCCATAAGATACTTTTTTCTTCCCTGAACAGATCAAACCATGCACAGAAATACCTCCTCATAAGGCAGGCTGCATGGAGGGTACTCAGTCTCTCCTCCAGTGTGGAGAGATAATCCTTGTACTAGGGAACAAGGACAGAAAAAGAGGTGAGAATGGTTTCTTTCTCCCAACCCCCATCCCAAAAAGCAGAAACAGAGCAGTGGTGAGACTGTGCAGTGAAGGGTGATGGGGACGGGAGTGGAGGAAAGTCGGTGGAGAGCAGGGTGAGACAGCGCAAAGGTGGACAAGCAGTGCATAGGAGAGTGTCCTGGGTGGAGAAGAACGATGGAGAGTTGAGAGCTGAAAGAAGGTCTCTGAAGAAGGGAGTCAGGTTTCTGGAATGGGGAAAGTGTAACTGAGCAAATGCTGGGCTGCATGTATGTGAAGTGGCACTGTGGTGTAGGAAAGGCTGCCAACAGCCTATCATTTCTCCACTGTGGTGCAGGCAAACCTTTAGCCAGTTCCTGAAGCCCCGTCTCAGCAATATATGGGAATAGAAGTCCTCAGCCCGAGACACTTTCTCCATGAGGCTCCTCTGGGTGTCCTGAAGCCAAGCCATGAGGCATTTCCTCTGTAGGCCCAAGCAGTGGTGCCTTTGTGCCACC